AACAGCAAATAACAAGCAATTAAAACATTCAGACAAGTGCTCGGGTCAGTGTTCGTATAGACTGTAGTTTAAGGAAGGCCGGCTGAGGAGCCGACAAAATATGATTCTTGAAATCAAGACAGAATAATATAGATTTAGATTATTTTTTCCATAGCAACAATTCAGCTCAAGTTAGGTAAGATGGCAAAATACTTTATCAATTTATCAAATTTTGAGCTTTCAAATGATTATTTAGAGAACTTAACTTACACTTGACCCAAAACTACAAATGGTTCTTGAAACAAGCACAAAACAAAATGTACAAAAAAAGGAGGTAATGATATAGATAATGCTGACTATGATAATGCAGAAACAATCTTTATGATGCATCACACCCGTTTCACCACTCTTGCAAAACTACAAATAGATTGTGTAACTACCTCGACACCTGTGAACTTGCTCCAGGCGGATTGTATTTAAGCGCGGCAACAACTGAGAAGTGAAGTGACTTCACACATTACTGATTCATGGCTTGGTTTATTCTCCAATAACATCTTATTTAATTCAAATCAAAGATGGAAATGAACAATATATTCCTCATTATTAAATGCAATCATCATGACAGTACATTTGATATATTTTATATTTGCTTCAGTTAACACTTAAATGTGTCCACCACATGTGGATCTAAAGGAATAAAGGCTGGTGATGCTCTGTATTAGTCTTGTCAACAAATGAAAAAGACTCAAACCAACAACGCTTTGGTGCAATATCTTCCTACTTTCTTTAATCTGTGCCTCCTGGAGCTGAAGCACACTGGTCCATAATAACAAAGGGCTTAATTATACCTTAAAACAGCTGGAGTATTGAAAGTCAAACAGAAGTAATGATTACATTTGTTGTGGACTATTTTCAGCCTCGGACCGATACACATTTAGTGCATTAACAGTGAGAGAATGGTGTGTGTGGGATCAACTCATCATACTGAAGGAACATGTCAGTGGAGCTCAATGGCATAGAGGAACATTGACAGTCCAAAAAACAAAACAAAAAAAAAAACAGAATATCACCAAATGTATTCTTTAAATCAGTTTTTGAGCCTTATCATGTGTCGAAACAAGCAGCATGTTTCCAAGTGCTCTTTGCCTTCAACATAAGGTGAACATGTCAGCAGTAAATGACAGTTTGCGCACACACACACACACACACACACACACACACACACACACACACACACACACACACACACACACACACACACACACACACAAACTCAGGCCAGGTTTAAGATCCTAAAGATGAGCGGCACCACACAGACACAACTGAAACCAACAACACTGTAGACGATGTAACGGTACGGCAGCTCTACTTTCATGTGCTGCCTCGCTTGTCTTACGTCGTCTGTTGGCAGCGCGAACAGGCGACATAAGAACGGAATAGTCACCGCTTTCATAACCATTCTCGTGATGAGGATGACCGCGACTCCGATGAGGAAGCGGAGCACAGCGAGTACCACCAAACTGGTGCCGATCGGTGGTAAAGTTAGAGGAAGCGAGGACAGCGGTGGATCCAGCAGCAGCCCCAGCTGATAGTTCACGTGGGTAGCGACGGCCGCTCCCGCCGCGGTGCCCAGACCCTGAGCCGTGTCACCCCGAGAGGTGCTCCAGGAGTCCAGAGAGAAAGCCACGAGTCCGAGGCCGACGTGGGACACGATAATCACAAGAGGAGCAAAGTGGTCCGTCATGTAGAAGTTGTCGATCTTGTCCAAAATAGGCTGGAAGAAGGCTAGAATAAGAAGGCTGTAGAGGAAGCCAGTTATTACCTCCTGCAACACAGGGACACAAACCATTGTAAACAATGCATATGTGCCATGAAAGCAATGATATTTGACTCATACATGCCTGATACACACAAAGTCTTATAAAGCCCTTTCATGATTCATTGTGTTTTGATTGCAGAAGTTACTCTGAACAAATTGTATTAGTTGTTGTTGTACTGCAGAACATAAACAACATACGAACATGGCAACCAAATGTATTTATTGGCTCTTTACATATTTCCTCTGATCATTGAGTTTAAGTTCCTGAGAATGTTATAGACATAAAAAAACGGGGCATGAGTGGCTGTTGTGCATATTAATGTTATGCATTTATGTTAAAAGAAGTAATCTGTCTACCTATAGAAACAGAGAACATGTTTGACCAAGTCAGACCTCTTCTGAGCTGGACTTCAGGTGTCAGTGGAGGCTAAATGTTGAGGTGGAGCAGCATCACTTTTTAGGGATTATTTATTTCACATCATGCATTTAATATACTTACCAGAATAGAATGCATCCCCATGTAGACTCTGCTTACACACACCAGCACACTCCAGCTGAGAGCCACACAAAAGCCAAAGAGGAAGGGATACTAGGAGCAAAAACATTAAAAAACATGTAATATATATATATATAGATATATATATCTATAGATATAGATATATATATATAGATATAGATATATATAGATATATATATAGATATATAGATAGATATTAGAAAGGTGGTTTAAAAATACAAGAATCCACATCATAGTTTTCTAACAAAGAGCTTCATCAGTAATGCAGAGACAGAGACCACTAGCCCAGCAAAATGCACATAGAATCTGAATTCACCGTCAGCAGAAATAGCTTTCAAAAGCCACAGTGCATCGTGGGTTTATTTAATGCATCGGCCATTGTGGGGAAACAATAAACAAGGTTGTACTTAGACACTGTGGTGCTTTGAGCTAAATGCTACCTTCAGCATGTTAACAACAACACAAGACACTTTGAATCCGCCTCCTGCTGTGGAAGCCGTTTATGGTCCCGTATCTTATCTTTCGTAACCTGATCCTTTGAGATGTCAGTTCCTCAACATTCCACATCAGTGAAATTGATGACACGCAAAAGAGTTCAGGCAGTTCAGACAACTGCCTGAACTCAGTTCAAAGATCTTATGCTAGAGTACAACAACAACAACAACAACAACAACAACAACGAGAGCATGTAGGCTCTATGCTTACTTTTGTTTTTGGGGCAATTGTGCTAATGCATTTCTTTTTATCTTTAAACATACCGTGTGCACAAGATGATTTAACTAAGATTACAGAGTTGCACATGGGACCCATCAAAAGGATAAGAATCCATTGTATCCAATTCAAATCCCTGAGTGAACCCATTTAAGTTTAGGCTTCGACTTTTAAAAGAAACTAAAGTTATTAATGACGACAACTCAACAGACTGGAGCGGGTTCTTGCACAGAAGCCCAACATCAGCCAAGTTTCATTTTGGCTTGCCATCAAGGCGCTCGTGAAATTAAAGTTAATTAGTTATTAAGTGGAAAAGTTCCATGGCTTTAAGCTCTCTGATCTGATACGACTCTACACTCTTTGGTGAAGTCACCCTCCCAAATCCAACAACCTGGTCCTCCATCTTAACCAGAAAAGACGCTCACAGTAACATGTGCTTACTGATACTTTCACTTCCCATAAGTCAAATCCACTCGTCTCCTCTCTCTGTCTTACAATGTAGAACAGTAACTCTTTGTTTACCTAAAAATATGAACTACCTATTCACTCCTCTGACACACCCTGTCATGTTTTAACAGTCTGCTTCAACAGAGAAATGTTTTTTTAGCTCCAGGTTCATCAGAGACTAGGCAACAAGAATTAACAATGATTCAGAAGCCTTGTGTATTTCTTGAACCCTGGTCTTTTTCCTTTAGATTTACTTCCCTGAACCTTGAAACTGTGGCTCTTGGGGCCCTTGAAACTCTGGTGCATAGGGCCACCTCTCCTGTGGGTTATCAAAACATCTTCATATCACAGCTAGAACGCTGGATTCTCAAACAACAACACTGGCGTAGCAAAGAGATATTTGTTCATTTAGATGTAGTCTGTAATAACATCACATTTCCAGTTCCACGCAGTGTATTGCCTCACAGCTGGATTAACACACAGCTGGATTAACACTGCAGGGGGCCGTTCCTTCTTCCTCTCACTCTGTGTGCACAGTGTATATATATATATATTTCCCGTTGTGTTTAAGAACCCATTAGATCAGCTGGAATACTACCCTGGTGTGCAGAGTCTCGGGTAGTTTGTGTAATTTGCATGAACACAATTTCTCAATTCCCAAGTTGACATGTTCAAATTGCTTGTTGTTGTCTAAGCAGGAGTCCAAAACCCAAAGATAGTTATTAAGCATCATATCATAGAAGATTAAGAAAAACAGAAACTGGTGCATCTTGGGTGTTTTTGGTTTAAAAATGGGATTAAGAGGTTTAAAGAGTTCTCTCACCTGCCAACGGCCATAGGTCAGCATGAAGAGACAGAAGGGCATGGCGGTCCCCGTCATGGCGTGCGTGGACGGCATGCTGTACTCGGAGTTGTAGAAGACCTCCACCTTCACCACAGGGGGGGAGGCCGGCCGGGACCAGCGGACCATGTCCTTGGTGGACTGACCCACGAACAGGTTCCAGGCCCAGACCACGATGAGCCTCCTGCTGACCAGGGCGTCGATGTTCCAGAAGAGGAAGGGGAAGAAGACGATGAAGAACATCTCGTTTCCCAGCTCCGTCCCAAACGTGAACAGGTAGAACAGAAACTTGTTCTGGATCAGGAACTCTTGACCCACGTCTCCGGTCAGAGAGTTCCTCCGGAGAGGTTTGGCTCTGGCGGTGTCAGGATCGACATCAGCGACATCGGGCACGACGCTACCGTCAGCCTGCATCCCGTTAACCGGCGGTGCGGTCGCATCCCCGGCTGCTCCATTCCCAACGCCAACGTCCGAGCTTGGACCTCCCTGGTGGACCCTCTTCCTCAGACCGGGACAGTCTTCTCCACTATTATCGGGCTTGACCGGTTCAACCGGAAATGTCCCTTTAACGCCACAGACATACTGAAACCTCGCTACATGGCGCGGGTCTTGGAGATAATTACACATCTGTACAAACTTCTTCACAAAGTCGTTCGCCATGACTTTCAAATAACAGTTAGTTTAAAATGCAGAACACTTAACAAATAGAGGTCATGTTCCTGTAGTGAGCTTTTAAGGAGAAGCGGAGCTCGTTGCATTCCTCTTAACGAAATATAACGACAGAGGTTTAGCTAACAGCACGGAGCAGCTACAACTCACTACTACCTGGAGTCCGCATTCAACTCACAGACCTTGTACATCGGCGTCGACGGCAGCATCCAAAGTCCGTTGAAGTGGTGACAGTTAACCATTACTTCTTCTTCCTAATTCAACATCAGCTAACTGCGTCAGGCCGTTATTCCTGTGTACACGCTTCTTCTTCTTCTTCTTGTTCTTCTTCTTCTTCTTCGTTTGACTTAATGTCAGTCGGTTAATGTACAAAACGTTCGAGGGCTCCCCCTGCTGGAGTTGTGATAAATTACACAGATTTAAAAAAAATAAAATCTAAATTTGCCTGGATGAAGTGGATGAGCAGTGGTGGATTTAGTATTCAGGTACTATATTTAAATTTAAAAAATACATTGTGAAACACCCGAACATAATTAAAAGTCCCGCATCCAAAATGAATAAATGTGTTATTTTATTGGATGATTATGAACATGTAAGCAGTATTTAATGTCATTGCTGTTCACTGTGGAGCTACTTTAACAACTCTACTGGATGAATCTACAACAATGCATTATAGTTTGTAAACTGATCTTATTTTTTCTATGTACCATCTTTATCCGCAAACTAACTAATAACTACAAGTGTCACATAAATATATTTGCGAAAACTAAAGAAGTGATATCTATCTTTGAAACGTTAGTAGCTATGAATAAAGTATCATAAACTGGAAATAATCAAGTTTATTACCTCAAAACATAACACCTCAAAATTGTACTTAAGTAGGCCGACAGTAAACTATTTTGGTCTACACTTGTAAATGCTCTAATTATTTTCTGAATTAGTCAAATAATTCAGAAATTCAAAATACCATAGATTGAAGCTATACTAACACACACCTATTTCCAAATACAAACGTTTTCCAATTGATTTTTCAAAACGTTTTTCAACATATTATTAGTTATGGATAGGGAAAACGATCAGGCATTGTAGGGCCACATCACATTCCAATAAATCTCCAATTACTACCCATGTTAAAAGCAAAAACAAAATTTAAGTTCTCACAAAGATATAATAGAAATGAAAGGTCTGAAAAGCCACAGACAATAATACCAGAATAACACCGGGATATTATAGCGATTTACCTCCAAAATAAAAGCATCAACTTTAATGTTTTTGTTATCAGGCTGGTGTGACTCTTATATATATTTGTACATGATATATTTGAAGACTGATCTTCATTTAGCAGGTAAAACTCCATCCAAGTTATGTATTGTGACTAAGCTTATCCTGTTACTCCATATGTGTAGAACAACGTGGTTATAAATGTGATGTGAAAATGACAGTTTGGGGATAATAAGCACCATTTACCTTTTACTTCTAAAACCTGTCCGGAAGTACCTCATCTCATACTTGTGATCTTGACACTTGTGGTCCACGCTCCGGTCGGGCAGATATCTGAGGGGGGTATTTGTTAACAACAGCACGACCACCGAGCAGCTCTGAGTCTGTGTCCGGAACCCTCATCATGCATGGGGGCAAGAGAGGACTGGTGGCTCCGCAGAATACTTTTCTGGAAAATATTGTCCGGCGCTCCAGCGGTGAGTTTTAACTGAGAAAGGAAAATAATAATAATGAATGGATGTTGATTTGGCATGTCACTCACGGTACCACCCAAGGCTGCATGTGATGCTGACGTAAACCTTTAATGTTATTTAATATAAAGCAGCAGCAATTAAGACTTGACTGTTGTACTTTCCACTTTTGTGCAACTACCTAACAATAAAATATGAATAATGCAATATGTCTTGTGTCCAAATCATCTAGGTTAATAAACTAAAGTCAGTATAATAGTCTATACTTATGATACCCATTAAGACATATATCGATATATTATTATCAATAGCTATAGAAACAAGAACGTTTATTGGTCTGTCAAAGTCCATTTTATGTTTTATTGCTCATTATAAGATGATTTAAGGGCTACTCTTCTAATGTGCTTCTTTTTCTGATTAGTTTATCTGGATTCCTACAAACGCCTTTTTAATTTTCTTTTCGGGGATGTATAATGTAATTTGTGTTTGGTGACTTTGGCTATATTATCTGTATAGTGCCTCTGTTACACTTACTTACATTACTGTGTCGTTATACAATAATATTTGTTAGTATTTGCTGTTTATATTTCAGAAAGGTAATATTATTATTGAAAATATCTTTGGGATTGACAGTCTGTAGTATATTTTAGACACATTTAGTCTGTTACAATAATCTGAAATTCAGTCATTATTGTCTGAATCACTCAGACCCTGAAACACTGCAGCTGCAGAGTGAATGTATTGATTACAACATAAATAGTTAAGTTCAAGATACACATGCTTTAAGTTTTAAAGCTTCAATACTGACTGTACATTGGAGAACATATCAGTCATTTCTATCGAGACAGCAGTTTCATCCAACCTGCTGTGAAGCTGGAGAGCTTTGCAGCTCCTCATCAATATTTAATTGACATTAAGGGTGGAACATAAACATATTATCAACAACTGTTTCTGCTGAGGGAGTCGTCTAATTATCATTGTTTACTGCTGCTTTAAGATCTTGTTTCTGTTACATATGATTATTAAAACAATTGTACGTAGTGGGAGAGTTTGCTTTATAGTGATTTGAAGGATTGCTATATTTCACATACAGACTTATGTGTATGTTGAGGTTTTCTCTGATGCATGACACTGGTCAGCAGCAGGATTTATAGGAGACTATATATATATATATATATATATTTAAATATCAGATTTATACAAATATTTTTTTATTGGAATGTAAAACATAGTTGTCAAAAATATTAATCAATGGCAACACAGCTAAAAATCGGTTTCTACGAGGTTGCAGTTGCATAACTCCAGTTGCAATGACTTTACGGACACACAACGGCTTTGATTGACAAAACCCCCAAAAGGTTGATCAACAGGTGCCCTAAAGTCTGCAGGTTTGTTGTTAGTCTTGACTAGTTTTGTTTCAGACTGCTGTATTTTTGATGTATTTTCTTGCAGAAACCAGTTTCCTTCTGGGAAACGCACAGATCGTGGAGTGGCCAGTCGTTTACAGCAACGATGGATTCTGCAAGTTGTCTGGATACAACAGAGCCGAAGTCATGCACAGAAGCAGCTCGTGCAAGTGAGATGCCTTTTGTTGTATAATGATCTGACGTTAGCTTGCATCTATAAGTGAATATAGAACAGATTGCATGTGTGCTGATGCCTTTTCTTTTTCATATTGAATCTCAGCTCCAGCAATTCCAATATACCTTTATTTAGTGAGCAGTGATTTATCATATTAATTTATTTGACAAGAGCTGTGCTCATTGATCAACACAAGAAAAGAAAAAAAATACTGTAAATTAGCCACATTTTGCCAAAAATAGCTACATTTCATCTGTTGTCCCTGTCCAGATGTTTAAAGGCACCAAACAATCTGATCTGATCTTTATATACACACAAATATATCTTATAAAGGTCAACTAATTAATTATGGATGTGGTGAAATCAGAGGACCAACAATAATACAATAATCTTGCTGTTCTCATTGTAAAAAACTGTGACCACTGATTTGCAGCAACTACAATAAAGATGAAGAAGAAAAAGTGTTCAATCCAAGTTAGTGATGTCTGTCTTTAATGTTCTTCCTTTCTTTCTAACAACAACAACAACAACAACACACTCCCTTTTGCTGTTTGGTATCCGTCTCCCTTGTTTTGCAGTTTCATGTATGGTGACCTGACTGATAAGAAGAGTATAGACAAAATCAGACAGACCTTTGATAACTATGAGTCCCATTTCTATGAGGTGCTGCTCTATACAAAGAATAGTAAGTTTCACTAGAGATTTACTCTATTTTTTTTAACTAGAAATCATCAAATGCATTTTGTTTATCTCCATTTGTGCTCTCTCACAATGCTCATTTAAACTGTGTCCTGCAGGAACACCGATATGGCTCTACATGCAGGTAGCTCCCATCAGAAATGAGAACAACAAGGTGGTGCTTTTCCTCTGCACCTTCAGAGACATTACGCTTTTCAAACAGCCGATTGAAGATGAAACAACTAAAGGTGAGACAGCTCATATTTTTGCGTCTGGTTCAAATGGTTTCAGCCAGACTGCATTCAGTATTTAAGTTTAATCATGGTAAACCGTTTGGTCTTATTTCACACACTAAAGGGTTACAACATGCATTTACATCAAGTAGATATCTCATTAAGGCCCAGACAAAGCTATAGTTTATCCAACAACACCATGGAGGGTGCAGTGCAGCTCAAAGTCTCGAGCGTACGAGTGGCTGTGACTCAACAGACGTTTGTTTCCTGGTATGTAATATACATCTGTCCAGGTGTTGTGTGTGCGGGTCAGCGAACACTCGTCTCTGAGGGTGCCATGTCCCAAGGGATTAAGTGTGCCACTAAGACTTTTACATACATCAAGCAGAAACAAAAGACACTCGGGCCACATGGGGATGGTAAATGTAAGACATACTGATTATAATCGGAGGGAATAAAAGAATCTGTCCACAGCCAGCTGATAGAATTTGAATGTTTTTATAGTGAATATTTAAACACCATCGAGTACTCAGCATATAGAACAAATGCTGATTCTTCTTTATTGCCTAGAAATACAGTAAAACAAATGGATGATGCATTCAATCATATGAAATGAAAAAATGATGTTCTTTCTAAAATGAAAATCATTTTCCAACAATTGGGAATCAATTTATTTAAATCGCAGTTATGTAGTCTCAAAGTGTTTTCTTCAAGAAGATAATGGTCACTATATTGCTATTGCCGATATTTAAAAAGTCACATTACAGCATTGTTATTAAAATGTCTGCATGAAACAGTCTGTTTGTTTTGTCTCTGAGCAGGATGGACAAAGTTTGCCAGACTGACTCGGGCACTGACCAACAATCGAAACCTGGTGCAGCAGTTAGCACCGCTGAGCACTGAGGTCAGCCACAAGCCCTCCAGACTGGCTGAGGTGAGGAGCGTTCAGATCTAAAAGAAGAGTTTGGTTTCAAATGCTACGTATCTACCTGAAAATACCACAAGCTAAATCAAGAGACTTAAAGATAGAAGATCCAGAGTCTGAAATTAGTATATTTCCCAAAATTGTTCAGCGTTTTACAGACAAATTAAAAGTTGCACCACTAGAAGGATCTATGATGCTGTTCCTTGTTGCACTTAGCATGTGATTTTGTACTCGCAATGTTAAATATTCCCTCTCAATAAAGGCTCTTCAGCTGGGGTCAGACATCCTCCCTCAGTACAAACAAGAGGCCCCAAAGACCCCTCCACACATCATCCTCCACTACTGCACCTTCAAGACCACCTGGGACTGGGTCATCCTCATCCTCACCTTCTACACCGCCATCATGGTGCCCTACAACGTCTCCTTTAAGACAAAGCAAAACAATTTGGTTTGGCTGGTGCTGGACAGCATCGTGGACATCATCTTCCTGATTGACATCGTGCTCAACTTCCACACCACCTTTGTGGGTCCTACTGGGGAGGTGATTTCAGACGCGAAGCTCATACGAATGAATTACCTGAAGACGTGGTTCGTCATCGACCTGCTGTCCTGTCTGCCCTACGACATCATCAACGCCTTCGAACACGTAAATGAGGTGAGTGGATTGGCATTAATCCATTGCTGAAATGGTTTACGTGTTGGTACTTAACACTGCACGAAAATATCAAAACATTTCTGATTGTTTCTATGAAGGATGTCATCACATCTTCGTCTCGAGCAAGTCATCTTCATGAGTCTTCAATTTTCCTCAGGAACGCCACACGAACAGAAGACTCTCTATTCCCAGTAAGGAAGTTTAAAATATATATATATATTTTGAAGCTACTTCAGTCAATATATTTTTTTAATATTGACAATGGATCAAATGACTGCACGTATGCCATGAATTAAACATTTGGTCGATTAAATTTCAAAAACTGTGTAAAACTTCCAATCATAAATTCCCAAAACTTAAGTTGACATATTCAAATACTCTGTACTCTGTCTGGCCAACAGCCTAAAACCGAAAGATCTTCAGTTCATAATCATAGAAGACTACAAAACCCAGAAAATAGTCACATTTAAAAATATTGTGGATTAAAAGTGGATTATTGTGGTTTAAATGATCATCAAAATATTTGCCGATTAATTTATCATTGTAGGGTCTCAGCAGTTTGTTCAGCTCCCTAAAGGTGGTCCGCCTGCTCCGGTTGGGCCGGGTGGCCCGCAAACTGGACCACTACCTGGAATATGGAGCAGCCGTCCTGGTTCTGCTGGTGTGCGTCTTCGGTCTGGTGGCCCACTGGTTGGCCTGCATCTGGTACAGCATCGGGGACAACGAAGTCATCGATTATACCACCAACACCATTAAGACAGACAGCTGGCTCTACCAGTTGGCCCTGAGCATTGGGACTCCTTACCGCTACAACGCCAGCGGTACAGGACAGTGGGAGGGGGGTCCCAACAAGGACACGTTGTACATTTCTTCTCTCTACTTCACCATGACGAGTCTCACCACCATCGGATTTGGCAACATCGCTCCGGCCACGGATGGAGAGAAGATTTTCTCTGTGGCTATGATGATGGTGGGCTGTAAGTACTTCCAACATTAAGCGCTGTGTTTATTATCCGTTCCAAACATTTCATAAGATCTCAACAGAAACACAAGTCTTATAGATCTGATCTGACGTAACAAATAGTATCTTCACTGGTCCTTGTATGAGTGGTGGTTAATGGAGCAGTTAATGGAGTCACACAGCCGTCTAATATAATGTAGATACAAGCTCTTTCTATCACATGAACACACACACATTCAAACGATTAACACAAGGCCTCCAATGGTTCCCGTGTTCTTCCAAGCCTCTGACAAATGGCACAAACCCTCAAATGTATCAATTGCCCGTGGACAGTTTGTCAAGTGAAATTCAAGCGAAGCTTTTCAGACCAGCTTAAATCAAAGTGACTGCTGTTTTTCTACTTCAGTGGATGCACAGCACAACCTTGACAGTCTAAATAAAGCTGAATAGAGGACAAAAGAACAGCAGCTCCACTGTTGTTTCACTGGGATACACTATGAAGGCGATGTCTGCTGAAGCACACACACAATTCAAAAAGGTTGCATCAGTTATGATGTGCGCTCTCTCTCCTCCCTAAACACTGTGTGTTTTACCTCAGTGACGTACCCATTTCTACTGGCCCTTACTGTCTAATTGACAGATGCCGCTTCCTATCAACATACATCAGTTTAGACACTGGTATTTTAGCTGCATTTGGCATTAAGTTCAAGTTCAAGGCAGTGGGATGTTGCACATTTAACACGGTATAAGAGCCAAGTATCAACTTTATGAAAATAGTTCAATATAAATACAAGAGAATGCAAGAATTTCATGGTTTTGTCGTTGCAACTTTGTCTTAGCTAAGCAGCACAGGACTAATATTTAGCCATAGCCAGCCCAGCTAGCAAGCTCCCACAACGTGTAACAGTGACAGCTGCCTATAAAGAGAGGATTTCTGCCACTGGTTACAGTGATATACGCTACTGGTTTGTGTCTGCAGCTGCAGGTGTGAAGTGATTATGCCAGTAGAACAACAGCTGCACAGCATGAGACACTTTTCAATCTTCCCCCCTCACTCTACAGCAGACGATACATTCATCCTTTGATGCCGTTTCCATCCCGCTCATGCGTTCATCCGTTCATAATATGCCAGTACAACCTTTGCAGGAGCCGAAACAATCTGGATGCATTTACTTGCATGCTAGTAGTCACAGTAATGTGCTCTACAGCCCGGCTGGTTGTCTGCCAGCTGCCAGGAAAGCAACATATGGTGGAGATGTGCAGGTTTCTGCACAGATACAAAGTCAAATTCAAGCTCAGAATCATTGACTCATAGCTTTCTTACTAATAAACATTTGGTGTAGCAGAGGTCAGAATTGTGTTCGTTTAGATGATTTTCATCTCGACTTGATGTATTTTGCATACTTTTATCACAATAAACAAAAGGCAACAACACAAATCACATATAGACACATGCATGCACAGATGTAGTTTTCTCTGGCACTTTAAATCTCATTCTAATAACAGATCATTTCAGGTACATACATGATTCTTTACAGTATTCAGGGATTCACAGGCTCTCTTGACTCCGGTCGTGTAATTCCCATTAAGCTGCAGCCTCGTTGGTTGTTTGAACCACCGGGGAGAGTTTAGGACTCAGCTTTGTCGATAATAAAAAGTGACATGTTCAGCGTCCATCACAGCCTGCTCTATGGAGGTCTGTCTGAAGGTTGGTCATCATTACTACTCTATCAGGAAAGCATGGTCTTTGAGCTAATTCACTCATACTGAAATGATTCAGGCCCATTCTCTGCTTCAAGCAGATGGTTTATTAAGTCGAGGTCTTGAGTAGCAGGGAATAAAGACCGTAGCATGTTGTATAACACTACTGGCTTATAAACAGTCTACATTGTCTCTCAGTGTCATATTTCTAACTTTACACTAAGACTATTACATCTAAAACAATAAGTCAAACCAGCCTCATTTAAATAACGTTGAACCTCTGCATATAAATAGAAATCTATTTTTATGCAGGTGTCTGTATTATTTCCATCACCCACTGCAGTTACAGTAATAGCTTCACCTTCAGTGTCACTGCTTCCACTTCCAGCCTTTGCTTACAGTTCCTCCGTCACGACTCGCCTTCCTTCACTAACCTTTGGCCCACTCCTCTAAAACAGCATGTAAAGTGATGCAACATAAACTGTGAGGGAAACACAAACTGACGGCCACGCTTCAAGGTCTGTACATCCAAAACTAACCACCCATTATTCTTGTTGTGCTTCGATCACGAAGATCACTCAGTCACACTGAAGTGTCAGTTTCAATTACGGCCGATAAATCTCCTGCTACAGATACAGGAATTATGCGAGAGGAAGAGAAGAAAGGGGGAGCTCGCCTGCAGGCTCCAGTGTAGTAAAAGGACAATGAGCCATCACGTTAGATATGTATCCTAACCTCTGTGATCCTGCTGTGGCGACTGGAGACGACTCTTTCCTCTTGAGTGGGTAAAACCTCACGATAAGAGATACTGACTGACTCTTCGAGGTCACTGCAGCACAGAGCTCTTACTGAGGAAATGCGCATTATGAATGACATTATAAACACTCAATCCGCTACTCAGATTATTTGCATAGGAGGAGTAAAAACCCTGAAAGTTGTTTCCAAAAACATGATAAATCATTCCTTAGTTTACACCTTATAACAAGGATTGATCATGATAATCTTAAAGGGAATAGGAATAGATCAATTAATGAATTGTTTAATAATAAGTTATTATGGTAATGAAGTAGTCAAATGATTGACCTAATGGGATGTTAGAGTAAAAGTGTGGTATTTTTAATGGACCATGTTAATTTTAGTAGAAATATTTTAAGGTTAAACCTCCTTAAAATTGATTAAAACATGAAAAACGCATCCAAGATAATCATCAATTTACATGCATATCCACTAAGATACCTTAACATGCTACAATCCTTTAACTTGTGAACTCCTTCATTTGCAGCAATAATGGTCACTTGAAGATACAAGGTGTACATGTAACTTAAAACATGCCTATAATACATTAAGTATGTGTCATATGTGAGGTGGAATACCTGAATAATGGTTGGAATACAAATCCTATAAATATACATTTTTTACCTCAAAACATTCAGACCTTAATGTGAACCAAACTCCTAATGATCCCACATGGTTTCCTAGAATAAAACATATTGTCTGGCTGCTTTGTGCCTGACTCTGCCCTGTTTTTTTGTTGTTTTTTTTAAGCGCTGCTATATGCAACCATTTTTGGAAATGTCACCACCATCTTCCAGCAGATGTACACCAACACAAACCGCTACCATGAGATGTGCAACAACGTGCGTGACTTCCTGAAGCTTTATCAGGTTCCCAAAGGTCTGAGTGAGAGGGTCATGGACTTCATCGTCTCCACCTGGGCCATGTCTAAGGGCATTGACACAGATAAGGTACGATTATTATTATCATTGTTAGCAGTAACAGTTCATGAATTGTCCCATTTTAGTAACAAACTCTGAAATTTTCATAATCTACTTAATATATACCGTAATTAAAATGTTGTTAAATGGAAATAGTGTATGCTGATTGGATGGAGATTCGTTGTGCACACATGTGCTTGAAGGCCGAAGTTAAACTGATGACTCAAAGAGTAAGAACGCTCTCATTTTAAACAGATAGAGATGTATGGGCGGAGTCTAATAACTAGCATCAAAGGTCACCGCAGATCAATGAGTGCACTTGCTCATTGAGCTCAGGGTTCGTTGACATAATCATAAAGTGTTAGAAAAGGGATATTTTTGCTGAGCTACGGCCAAAGTAACAGCAGATTGATAGTTTAATAATCTGAATAATTTATTTAAAAGGGAAAGGAAAAGCACCCTGAGGAAGGCAAGTGTGTGTTGGTGTATTTTTATAACGTAGGAGCCATATTTATTAAAAGCTTGTTGTTTTTAACCCCTTATGACACATCCGTCCTGTGGATTAAAGCATATTCTACCTTTTTATACTTACTTACTTTCCCCTCCAAGAGCACCGGAAATGCTCCTGATGTCATTCTTTGTCCTCACCACAAAAACGTCTTCTCAGAATGAAACGTTTGTATCTATTTACGCGGTGGGTCCTCTTCACGGAGCCGGCCTCCATGTTTCTACAGTAGCCCAGGCCTGACAAACCAAAGTAACTCTAAATAGGGACATTCGCGTTTCCCCTTCGGCCACCGTAGTTGTCCTAAATGCCTTGCACACAGGCGAAGTTTCAGTTGGTTGCAATTTGCAATATCGACTCTAGATACCGCCAAATCCTACACACTGCACCTTTAAAGATAAACATCTAATGTTTTCTGTTACTAAACCAGTTTCCGCCATTGTCGTTGACATGCCTGCCTGAAAGACTTTTGGCTTTGGAAAATGTTCATGATGAATATACAGTATGATACCTGATAATAACTGCCCTGATATCTCACCATCTCTCTCAGGTTCTCTCAATTTGTCCCAAAGACATGCGGGCGGACATCTGCGTCCACCTCAACCGGCAGGTGTTCAACGATCACCCGGCGTTTCGTCTGGCGAGCGACGGCTGTCTGCGCTCTTTAGCTGTGGAGTTTCAGACCACACACTGTGCACCTGGAGACCTCATCTTTCACGTCGGAGAGAGCGTGGACACCCTCTGCTTTGTAGTCTCCGGCTCACTAGAAGTCATCCAGGACGATGAGGTCATCGCAATACTCGGTAATCTAACGCAACATTACGACATAGACCGGGTCAAGTTTTATCTGTGCCTGTTGGTAAAGATAAAACTAGAACAAAGGTTGTCTTAGTGCAAAGATGCATTCATGATTAAGCGCTGTTATACAAAGTTGAGAAACCAATGTTTAAGTCAAGTCTGATGTTTCGTAAAAGATTGATCCCTGTCACTTCCACACAGTGAGGCATACAGGTTGTTGATTAAAACACTGGTATCGGATCGGTACTTGTATCGGACGATACCCAAAAGCCCAGTTATCACTATCGGGACAGAAAAAGTCAGACCGGTGCATCCCTACCTTCAAACGAAGTGATCATGTCTGTCTCCATCCAGGTAAAGGTGATGTGTTTGGAGACGTGTTCTGGAAAGAGACCACGCTGGCCCGGGCTTGTGCGAATGTCCGAGCTTTGACCTACTGCGACCTGCACGTCATCCGGAGAGACGCTCTGATGAGGGTGCTGGAGTTTTACACGGCGTTCGCCAACACGTTCTCCCGCAACCTCATCCTCACCTGCAATCTACGAAAACGGGTAAACATGTACTGGACAATATAGCTGTCGGGTTTTTTTTCTCTCCATTTGGTTTTCATTGTAGACGTATTGGTTTCTTTAAGGGCATGTTATGCCTTTGTTAGAGTAGACAGTAAAGGTGTCACATTATCAGCAGCTTTGCATCCAAACTTCGCTGAAACGTACAGAACTCTAATTTAAATCCTGAAGGAGGCTTCCAAACACGCCAGGTATGTCAGGCTCTGGCTGACTTTTTGGTAAATCTATTTGATGATGGGTGCAGCCACAAAAGACATGGAGTCTTGGGTTTGAATCGCTCTGTGTGAACATCATAAAGCTTCAATATAGAGTTGGAGAAAGTTGATACAGAATGTATAGACCGACGGATGCTGTCAGTGTCAGACAAAGTTGAATAACATGATTTTAAATATAAAAGCTTTTATGAAGGAATTAAACAGACTGGCATTCATATATAATCTCTGTATCGAGAAAAGTTCAGGAATACAGTCAAACCATAACAGAAACATGGAGGTTTATAATTATTTTATTATGTTCTAAGTAGCTATGTACTTTAAATTTCCTCCGACTTTTCCAGTTTCTTGCAGCTCCATTAAGAGAGGTCTTATGTAATAACAGATACTGAAATCCCACGGTCAGTGAAGCAGCTCTAAATCTAAACAATTTCAAGGCAAATTGTGGCTACATGTTGAAAGATTTATGTATTTTTCTTAAAATGTATTCAGTGAAAACAAAGCAATCTATTATTGATTTGAGCAGCTTTAGAAACAGTTTGTGCTGCATGGGTTTAAGATCAGTCGCTGCCCTCTCTACTGTTATGTACTCAGTTAACTTGCATGCATGTGCATCTTAACTGCACATGAGTACAAGCTAAAAGTGTCCGAAAGCAACTCCTCAAATTATTTCTGCTTTTTTTTTTTATAGTTGTATGTTGTTCAAGAACATTTTGAACCATTTCATCTCATTTTCAGCGGGATTTTCTGCGTTTTGTGCATTATATCAAACAGATGAAACAGATGAGTTTTATGACGATATCATATTCTTAAAAAAAGTCCTACAAACATTCATCATGGGGGGTTGAATCATTGATAGAACTGACAAAGGGAATGTAGTAGCGCTTTGTATTCAGGAGAGTTGGTGTTTCACACGTGAACATAATTTGAATTCTGAACAGTTCATGAACACGAGGTTCTTGTATTTATACCACAGTTCCTTCAGAACATGTTTGCAAAGTCCACGTGACATTCTAATAAGTTGCATCAACTTCCTTTCTTTGTCTTCTGAGGGAATCCAGAGATTCTCAGGGCCTAGATATCGCTCCATTACTTCATTATGGCTCCATTAACGGTTTCCCTCATGCATCGCTGCATTCAGTTCTTTAATATTTCAACAGGTCTACATGCGTATCCTGGCTTTAAAGCTGCATTATCTATGTATGTATGTATGTATGCTCTGTTTCATCCAACTGGAGCTTTATACTATTGGAATGTAAATGTGGCCTCTGTGTGAACATCCTACATTGTTGTCCTCATGCACAGTTTCTTCCTCTTGCAGATAATCTTCAGAAAGATTGCTGATGTGAAGAGGGAGCAGGAGCGCCGAAAAAACGAGGTGACTCTCTGTATTCCTGAAGACCACCCAGTCCGCAAGCTGTTCCAGAGGTTCAGACAGCAGAGAGACACTCAACCACCGGGAGAGTCTCACTCTTACTTTGATCACAACTGTGTACAGGTGGAGCCGCAGCACCAGCGTCACTCCGAATCAAACTCTTACACACAGTGTCAGTCTGTATCTCCTCAGCAGCAGGAGTACAGCTCCGCGGTGCAGAATAATGCACCCTGCTCGGGAGGGGGGAACGCAGGCAGCGGTTGCAGCATGGCTGCCCCTCCACAAGCGTTTGTCCACGCTGAGACGTCAGAGCAAAGCTGCACACAAGAGGCCGGGGAGACTACAGCCAGGCCCGGTGCAGAGAGTCAGCTTTGTCAGAGGGTCAACAGCCCTGTGAAGAGCAGTGGTGCAGGTGGAGAGGGAGCTGTAGGTGGCATTACTGGCAGCAGAGGCTGGGCAAAGTTTAGAAATGCTGCTTCAACTGCACCACCGCCTCCTGCTGTCGAGCCAGAAAAGAAGCCACAGAAAGCAGAGGAGTGGCAGAAAGGACCCCAGTCCTCAGAACGGCTAGCAGCCGCCAACAAGAACCAGGAATTGGAGGAAAGTGGAGAGACGGGGAGCACAGAGGTGGGCAACAGTGCTGGAGAGGCGGGTGAAGAAATAAGCGCCCTGCACAAAACTGACTCCTGTGACAGTGGTATCACAAAGAGCGATCTGCGCATCGACCGAGCCGGAGATTCGAGGAGCTCCTTTGAAAGAAGCCCAATGGAAAGGAGCCCTCTGGAGAGAAACCCGTTTGAGCACAGCCTCGGGGTCGACTCCCTCAAACACTCTTTTGTTCAGCCGGTGTCTGAACAAGCGCTCCTTCAAGCCACCCTGCATGAGGCCAAGCTGGAGCTGAAGGCAGACATTCAGAAACTGAGCGGCCGCCTGTCGGTGCTCGAGTCTCAGGTGAGCGAGATCCTCAGGCTGCTGTCGATGAGAAGAAGACTCTCGCTGCCTCCGACCTCTTCCCCGAAGGCCAGAGTGAAATATCAGGACTCATTCGCTGCCTCCAAGCCGGTCACACCAAAGGCAGACGATGGGCCTTTTTGAAATTTACTGATTCGAAAACCCATAACCTGGATATCTTAAAAAACTGATTTACATAAGCACCAGTTTGCATGTCCTGCTGGACTCTGGCCTGCCAAAGAAATCTCACAGTAAACACCACCACTGCATGCAGGAATCCCTTTATAATGTTACCTTAACACTTCAAAAAAACAGGGATTTTTCTAACAGTCTTTGACGTGTGAGGCACTTTTATGGTCCTGTGTATACTAGATTTAAGAATGCCAAACAGGAAGAATTACTGATTGCTAGGAAATAAATACATTGTAGAGGCATTATAAAACAACGTATCTATGTATCTCATGATTGATACTCTGATGAAGGCTTTTGTTGAAACTTGTGAGCCTGATAGGAGCTGAAGTCACATTTTTCAAAACATATTTTGAGTTTAAGGCTTTTTGTAAAGCTATCATTTCCATGATCTTCCTTGACTTTTATTTTATTGTTAATTTATAGTTTGTGGCAGAACATCAGAGAAGAGGTTAAGCAAGAAGGTTCACTTGCCATAACTGTCATGATTATTTAACCAGCTTGAACTTGCTGTCTTAGAGAAAGCAGGAGCTGCTCGGACTTTTATCAGTCTGAGTTTCCACAAGTGTTAAATACGTCTCCCTTTAGTTACGGAATTAATTGTCAGGTAACGATATTATGTGCCTTACAATAATAAAGCCTCATTCAGGGTTGTTTTAATGAGACATGATCAACTCTTTATGGTTTTTGAGCATATGTTTTACAGTAGAAACATTAATTCTGTTTGACTTTTACCCCTTTTTCGGGGATAATGGAAGAATTTTCTCATTTGAATCTGTCACTGCACTATGCATTCATTGTATGAACTGTTTAGAAACTCTTTATATTGTGTCTGAGCTTCATCCGCATGCATGTGAAATAGGAATAGGTGCTTTAATAGAGTTTTATTGTTGAATATCTTTATCTCTATATTTTGGGAAAGACTTATGTTCCTTAAACAAGATGATCATATTTTGACATGTAAAAAGATGTACATTACTGTACATCCCTTCATGTAACTATGCCTCTTGCTCAGGTATATTTGCTCTGATGTTGAATTGCAATATTTATTTCAGTATGAATGATTATATCTTTGACTACCTGTAAGATTAAATAGTTATGCAATTTATCAATTTAAAACATTTAGCACCCACCGCTATGCAAATCTAAATGAACGGACACTGCTCTTTGTCATGCAAGCGTTTGCATTTGTTTATTCTGGTTGTATAAAGATGATTACGATGATGTACATGACCAAACAGCATGGTTACAGTTGTAGTTCAAGATCTTTTTTTTTTATTTTCTGTGCGACTGAATCATCTCTGTACGAACTGTGAGGATGAAAGCATGTGGCTTTTGGTCTATTATTCAGTACATCCATTTTATATTACATGTATAAATGCTGTTGCATGCATCCAGGGAACCTGTAAACAGTGAAATGAATAATGAAAACCGATGCCTGCTCACCATCTGTTGTTTAGTCTTCTCTGTTATGCAACAAAAGTCAGTCTTTAAATCAAAAGCATTGAAAACTGCAACATGCACAGTTTTTTTCTTATCTTTAACATGTTTTATGCTGCTCATCAAAGTGAGTCAAAGCAGTATTTGTGAACATGAACAGTTGTTGCAATCAAGTTCAATATAGTTACTCCTTTTCTTATTTTTCACGGATTATTTTCACTCAATAGTTAAAAATGGAGACAGATAAGACATTTGGGGAGAGGGCACAGGAACAAGGAAAGGTGTCCAACTTAGAATCATCGTCACTTTTGGCATTAGCAAGATCGGACATCTTCACATTTACAAAATTAAATTTTTAGTTTTCCTCTGCGCTGATATGGAGATAGTACCTCTTACATTATAAATACATATTAAAAATATTTTTCAAGCAAATCTGCAAACAATGGCTTGAACTCAAATAATGCTGACTGCTGACTGTGTTGCACCGTGCTCGCTTCCTGTTTCAACACGTAAACAACGACCCACGTGTCAAACTCGAGCGGACTCGTTTCCCCATAAGACTGCCCAACGTGGAATCCGGTATGTTTTGACCATAGACCGTAAATAAGAAGGTTTGACACTGTACTGCAAAGTTAAACCATGCGGCATTCACGAGGACGGCTACGTGTCACCAGTTAACAGGGTCGCTTGATAAACCGTAACACCGGATATAGAGTGTTCTTGGACGACGTGTCGTTGAGGCAATATTTTCCCAAATCGCTAAAATGTAACAGCTGTTGGAAGTTTGGCCATCGTCTGTTCGTGTGTAGGAGTGTTTTTGCCATTAGTGATACATTTGGGGAGAATGAATGTGAAGGAGACTGTGAGAAAAAACCCCAAAGGGTCTTCTTTGCAAAGAGAATCATGCAACATGGGATCCTAACTGTCCAAAGAGAGTGAATGAGACGTAAATAGACATGAGCACGAGGAAGTAGGATATGGTGCAAGACAAGGAGCTGAGGAGCTTCTTGAAGAAGGGCCAGGTGAACTTTATGACAGTTTACTGTACCACTGTAATAGAAGGGAAATCTGAGAACATTTACCTAACTATAGATGGAACAAGGATGTTTAGTTGCTACATTATTACACTGCTCTTTATAACATTCATGAAAGTAGGAGCAGGAAACCTCCAAGAAAAGATAATTCTAATGATCTACAATAATGAAAATTATGTTAGAAAACAAGCGTTCTGATTTGCATTGTTTTTATTATTTTTGAATCAGCGCTGAGATGGAAATGCTGCTTCCCCCTCACGTGGGAGACAAGCTCTCAGTGGTTGACATGCACACAGGCGGGGAGCCTTTACGGATCATCCGCAGCGGCTACCCAGAGGTCAAAGGTGACAGTGTGCTGTCCAAACGGCGTTATGTCCGGGAACATCTGGATCACCTCAGGAGGGTGCTGATGTACGAGCCGCGGGGACACTACGACATGTACGGAGCCCTGGTGGTGAACAGCGAGATGCCCGAGGCCGATCTGGGGGTGCTGTTCATGCACAACGAGGGGTACAGCACCATGTGCGGACACGCCGTCATTGCTCTGGGGCGCTACGCTGTGGACTACAAACTGGTGAAAGAACCACAGTCACCGGAGACTCAAGTGAACATACACTGTCCCTGTGGGCTGGTGAAGGCCTTTGTCGAGTACTCTGATGGTAAAACGGGGGGAGTGAGGTTTCTCAGCGTGCCTGCGTTTGTGTTTGCAACAGGTAGGACACTCACTCTGAAGAAACTGTTTTCAGGAGGGTTTTTTTTTATGCCCCTGGTTTTACTAAATTACTTTTGACCAGATGTGACGGTGACGGTGGAAAGGTTTGGCGATGTGACGGTTGATATCAGCTATGGAGGAGCCTTCTACGCCTTTGTAGACGCCCAGAGGTTTGGCCTCAATGTGACCAAGTCCAGGACTCGAGATCTGGTAGACGCAGCCACAGCGGTGACCAACGCTGTCAAATCTCAGGTAAGAAGTTCATGTGCGGAGGAAAACAAACATGACGAAATACCCCCAGACAACAGTATCTGTATGCAAAGGGCCTGTCCACGAAGCCTTTGTTGATTTCACATTGCATTTTGACATTTTGGTGTTATTCTCATCTAGGTGAAGTTACACCACCCAACCAGTGATGATCTGGCCTTCCTCTATGGCACCATCCTCACTGACGGCAAAGATGATTATTCCTCCGATCCCACCGCCAATATCTGCGTGTTTGCTGAAGCTCAGGTATTTTACAGAAACTGGTCCAGAGAAAACAAAACACAGCTTGTTATTTGACACTTGGGTGGAGGAGCTATCTGAAAGCTGGCTTCAACTGGTTTTAACGTGTTCTCAGGTGGACCGGAGCCCCACTGGTTCTGGTGTTACTGCCCGAGTGGCCCTTCAGTATCACAAAGGTCTCATCCAGCTGAACCAGACCAGGACGTTTCAGAGCGGAGCCACTGGATCCCAGTTCACAGGGAAAGCTGTTGAGGTACCAGAGGTTCCTTCTGAAAGGTTTATGGGTTTACTGTCACAGTTAAGATGTGCCATTAGCCAAAGGTCAGCAGCAGTTTGAAACAAGTTTAAGTCTCCTCCGGTGGAATCAATCACTGCAAAGTTAAACAAATAAGAGTTTGTGAACAAGTCACTGGTTCTAAGATGCCTGGATGAGTTCAGGCTGTCAATGAGTTATTGTGGTTCTGCTGTTGTGTCTTACAACCTTCTGTTAACAGACGCATGTTTGTGATTTTGTGTTCAGGAGACCACGTATGGAGACTTCAGGGCTGTAGTGGTGGAGGTTGCCGGCAGAGCTTTTTACACCGGAGTCTCGTGCTTTGTGCAGGAGCCAGATGACGAGCTGGCTCAGGGTTTTCTACTGAAGTGAGCCTCAATTACAGGTTGTCATCAAACATGGTTATACATTAAAAAAAGTGTTTGAAACGGCTTATTAAGTACTTTGTAGCTTAGCAAACAATAGAAAATCTCAAAGCTCTCCAAGAAGAGAATTGGATCTGTAATAAACTGTTAAAGAGACAAAATGTTAGATTTGTTTTCTATGTAAGACAAATGTCTAGCCTGATTTACCGAGTATTTGATCAATAAATAAGTATTTACCATTTTGTTTTGATTTAATAATGGGTGAAACTATCCACCTTTCACAAGGACTAACCTGGTTTAAGATTAGTTTTTCTGTTCAGTAACATTTACTGACCACTAGATGGAGCCATGAGCCCGGTGCCTATCATACACTGCATCATAATTCATTCAAGTGCATGTGCTTAGCAGCTGAATGCAACAAAAACTCAAAACTGTTTCTCCCATTTATTATCATCATCAGGTCATTGTACAATAGAAAGCAATATTTAAATTATAAAAGTCCAATGGAGGTGTTTGACTCTGGATGGATTCACACAAAGCCGAGCGGACAAATTAAAGTCAAAGGTTTCACGTCCACATGTGATGTTTTCTACAAGAATGAAATCATCACATGTGGATCACGCAGAGTTTAAAACCAGGGTGTTGTCTTATTCTGTCGCAGTGTAAATCCAGCCAGAGTACAGAAGACATATTCCATATATTCAATGAATACGTAAAGGAGGGCACTCCCTTCGGAGAGGGGAAATAAGTGTATTGCATCGACTGGGTATTGTTTTAATAGCATTCAGCATAGTAATTATGAATTTATATGTGCATGTGTCACAAGCACGCAACCTTATGTATATAGATATATATGTAATCTATGACATGAGTGTCCACACTTGTAGAGAAACTGCAGATTAGACCCAGGCCTTTGAGAGTACCCACTCAACAAATAGAACAACAACGTTAAGGCCAGCTCTTAACAGGGAAAAACTTCAAATAAAACATACAGTGATCAGATATAGAAATGCTGCATGTCAATAATGATGAATAGAAAAGAAACTTCTCAGCCGCGTCACTTGCAGTCCAAACACCACGTCTGTCTTAACAGCGCAGCGCCTCAGTCCTGTGATGGTTCTGACTGCAAGAGACCGGCAGGGTCAAGAGGAAGTTCAGCTTCAGTCTTTCTCGGACAACTCGGGCATGAAAGCAGCCTCTCTCAATCTATGAAATCAGTCCGTACAAAATGGCCCCTTGTGTTTTTAATGGAATCATCTTCCTGTTTGGGTCGAGCATCAAGCCCCGAAGGAGTCTGCTAGCTGCACATTTCACTCTGTGCATAGATTCAGACGTACAAAAACAGCACAGAACTGCTCCTGTCATACAAGCGTGAGCTTCTCTTGCACCCGGAAGGAACCTTTTCCCCAGCGGGGCAAACATCCAGCTCTTGTGCAACAACTTTGAAACATTTCATTTGACCAAGCCGATCCTTCGGCGGGAATTATCTGATTTGGTCGTCAACAAGTTTTGGCTTCTTCTCCGTTTAACATCAAAATCTCAAGAGGATGAAAGGTCTGATCATGTTGTGTTGCTGTGTGTGTGTGGCTCTGCAGCGATGATGCCAGGCCGAGCCGGGTGGGAGGGGAGGGGAGGGGGGAGGGGGAGGAATGTGCATGTCAGTTTGACCCAGAGGGAAACTAATGAGCAGGGTGGGCGAACGAAACAAGGACGATGACCTCAACCCCCGCTTAGAAGTTGAGCTTTGTGACCGGTCGCTCTCTGCTCGCGTCTGTTGTCTGGCTGTTGATGCGCTTGCGGTTGCGTTTCATTTTGGATAAGTCCTTGTCGAAGACCTCGCCGGACCGCAGCGCAGACACCAAGTCGTCAAACTCGCCTCCGTCGTCCTCTCCGTTTGCCTTTGCTTTCCGGGCCTTTCGCTCCCGCTCCCTCTGCTCTTTCAGCTGATGACACAGAAATAAAAATCAATGTATTTAAAACTGAAATTACCGCCTCGCAGGTGTGTATGCCTCCACCAACCAGTCATGTTACAGTTTACATTCATGTCTGTCCAAAATGTCCTCACTTCCTCATTTCATCCTATTAAACATTTATGGGAAATTGTCATAATTAGTGTCTGAATTTCTTGATCTATGGACAAAAATCCAAGTGACCTTTGACCACCAAAATCGAATCAGTTCATCCTTGAGAGCAAGTGGACTTTTATGCAAAATTTGAGAAAATTCACTAAAAGGTGTTCCTGAGATATCACATTCACGAGAATGGACCCGAATTTATTAACATCAGAGAAATAGTTTGACATTTTTTTAATACATTTAGTCATAGAAATAGTTGGGAAGATTGATACCACTCTTATCTGTGTGTTAAATATGAAGCCAGCAGCAGCTAGTTAGCTTAGCATAAAGACTAGCGGCAGGAGGAAACAGCTACCAGAGCCAGGCTGTTTGTTACAAGCTCCTTGTTTCCATTTTGTGCTAAGCTAACCGGCTGCAGGCTGTAACTTCATACAGTAGGGACAGATATGTAGTATCGTGTTATCGATCTTCTCATTTAAAATTCAGCAGAAAACTAATAAATATATATTTCCCAAAATGTCAAACTATTCCTTATAGCTGTAGTGTTTTATCAAAATGTACATAGTCTCGTTTTAACTCTGAATTAATGTCGGAGTTTCTACAATATTTCAGATTATACTCCATACTTATAGTGTTTTATAACTGCGGCTCTTTTTGTCAAGGATGAAATGGAAACAGGGAACGATCACACACCTGAGCTTCCATCTTGGCCCTGCGCTCCTCCTCCTCTTTGCGTTTTCGCATGTTCTCGTTCTCCTGCTGAGCCTCGGCGAACGACTGCAGGAACTGGTCAAAGACGCCAAAGAACTCATCTGGCTGCATCTTACTGGCATCCTCGCCAAAGTGCTTTACTGCCTTCAGAAACTGTGGGACCAAAGAGAAGGGGGCACACATGGGATTAGATTTACAGCGGGACACAGTCGAACCATGTTTTACTCCGTCTTTGACTGTTTTACAGGGGGACTCGTTAGGTCTCAGCTCTTTGAAATAAGAGCAGGGTACCAGTAGTTGGGCTTTGAAGCCCGTGTTAACTCAGATGTGACCGGCTACTGATTACAGCTGAGGCCAGAGACTGGAGCCAGAGCCCAAATTAAGGCAACATGTTTGTTGAATGTTTTTCACAGTAAGTTAAAAAAGAGGACATCCAGATGTGAGGTCATGCTGACAACATACACCTTCTAAGATGTGCAGCGATCTGTCCATGGCACGCAAACTCCGTCAGGTTACTTCAATTATTTGTTAACGGTTGGTTAGTGTGCGATGCATTCAGAATCAGAATCAGCTTTATTGGCCATGTATGCTTACGCATACATGGAATTTGTCTCCGGTTTCCACTCCGCTGTCAATGTACAAACAAAAAAAATTCAGGTACGATGCGTTTTTTTTTTTTTTTACTTCCTCACAAAAGGACGGAATTTTTTTTCTCTACATCTTGATATTTATGCACACAAACAAGATGCACGGAGTTGTTTAAAGAGTCAGTATGTGTGTATGCGTACAGAGGACCACTGTAAACATATTTAACTACGGGACACCGTCAATTATTTGCAGAAAACGAATGGCTGCCATGTGACCAGCTGAGCACTTGGGTCAATGTAACACACGCTCAGAGATAAAAAAACCTCTGCACCAATAAATGTGGGCAGATGCATAAATTTAAAATTTAAAACTTCAGGGTGTCAAGCTTTTCCCAGAAAGGTGAATATGCTCAGGTTTCTGGTAGTAAAAAGACCAATTCTCATAAAATGTCTGCAAAATCCAGACCTTTTGCGCTACAAATGAGAAGTAAATTCACATTCTGCTGGCCTCTAATGTTCACAACGACCTCCCACATTCAAATGTAACGATAACATTTGATAAAAGCTTTCATTAAATAACGTGAGGTCGAACATAATGGTGAAAAAATGCTATTTTCCGTCTCTGTTCCTGCTTTTCTCTCTTGACCTGCACACATGGCAGCGAGCAGGCGGACCAATAAAGTGGCAGGAAGCTGAAACACTTCACTCCCGCGGTTAGCTTTCCTACAAAAGGTGACAGACGAGGTCAATAAGGCACATATGAAACAGCTGCATCCGAGAGGAAATGGGACGCTTTCTGTTTCTACAAGTGACACTGGTGCTGTCCGGTCTGCTCGAACACACTCAGCGGGACGTACCAGTTCCTTGGCCTCGGCGAGAGAGTCCTCCACATCGGAGAAGCTGAAGCTGGCCACGGTGATGAACTGACTCACGACCGACACAAACTTGTCGCCCAGCTCCTGCGGTCGCTTCTTCTGATATTCCAGCTCCTACGAGTGAAAGTTATCCAGAAGAGGGAAACGTTGAAGTAAAGCTCGACCCGCACTAAATATTGCACAACAGCATGACCAATACATGAACGCGCGTTATGTCGTAGATCTTTGCGACTCACACTCTCCACGCTTTTTAAGCCGCTGCGCATGTTGCCGATATCTTTTTCCAGCTCAGTCATGCTGCAAAAAAGAAAAGCGATTGTTCAATACAAAAAGGGAAAGCAGTTGAAAGTCAGGCAGCAGGATCTTCACAGCTCCACCTACTTGACTTTGGCGGCATCAGAGAGACTCTGCAGGTCCTCCTGGAACATCAGGACTTTGGGGTATTTCTTCTCCAGGATGGTGATCAGGTAGTGCAGGAGGGTTATGTTTCTGCAAACAGGAGACGTACAGACACTGAGGTGGACCAAGCTTCGAGGCAGCGGACGTGTCAAATGTGCAATATATATTGCTTTTATTATGCGAATAACCATATGGAGTTTCATCTATACCACATTCCCTGTTCCAGACGTGACTTTTTGTAAATTGCATGCCGTTCTTTTTGTTTTACGGCCTGCCAGTTTTGATGTATTTATGTTCTCTGCCGACTCCTAAAACTCCTTCTTAAACTACAGCTGTAGCTTAGCGGTAAACTGTAGCTGTATCTTTCGGTCGTGCGGACATATTTTGTATCTCATTCCTGGAACCCGCTCTGTCTT